AGCAGGGCGCCCCGCGCCCGCGCCCGCGGCCGTGGCCGCACCTCAGCTGGAACTTTGTGTGCTCGCCGCCGATGAGCATCTGCACGTCATACACGATGTAGCAGCCAAACAGCAGCGCCCCGCCGCCCGCAACCACCAGGTCAAACGCCGAGCTGCGCGTGAACGCGCCGATCAGGCCGGTCAAGATCAGCGCGACGAGCGCCGTGAACAGCATGCCGCCGCGCGCGGTGTAGTCGGTCTTGGTGCGGGCCGCGTAGGCGGCGAGCGCGGCGGTGATGCCGCCGGTGATGACCACGGCGAGGCCGACGGTGTGGAGGTCGTAGGACGCGGAAATGGCGCCGACGGCAATACCCTCAAGCGCGGTGAACGCGGCAAGCAGCAGCAGGTTTGTTGGGTGGCTGCGGGGGCAGGGGCGACGAGGGTGGGGAGAGGAGGGCGGCCGTGGGGCGGGGCGGGCTGAAGGTCGGGCGGGCCGCTCCAAGGGGCTGGCCGCTGCAGCCGGCGCGTGCGTCAGAGCGGGCGCCGCCAGCTCATCAGACCGACTGCAGCGGGGTCCGCGCGCGTGGAGGCCAGGCTTTGCAGGCGGGCGGGCTCACGTGTGGCGGGCGCTTTCGCTGAAGCTGAGCACCAGGATGAGGACGAGGCTGCCGAGGGACGCCAGGGCGACGACCCACGAGTTGGCCGCCACAAAGCCCTTGACGGGCGCAGCCAGCACGATGGGCGCCGCGACGAGCGCGGTCAGGATCAGCTGCGCAGCAAGGATGCCTGCGCGGCGGCGGGCGGAGGGCCTCGTTTGGCGTCAGCGGGGGGTGCGGCGCCAGCGGGCGGTGGGTCGCGGCGAGCGCTGCGCGGTGCTGCCCAAGTCTACCGCGGGGCTCTCACCGAATACTTTGTTGACAAACCCCTTGCGCATAAACTCGTGGGCTTGTGATGCGCCCTTGTAATCGACTGACCCGCCCTGCTCGACATCCTGGCCGACGGGGTGGTACGCGGGATAGGCATCGGGACGCTTCACGCTGGCCGACATGTTGTGTGCCGAGGCTTGTGCGTGATGCCAACAGCCGGTATGAGACCTAGACAAGAGAGACACGACCACCCTGGCTCGCTGGAGACGCCGTGCTATGCAAGACTTGCGCTGTTCACTCCTTGTTCCGGGAATACTGAAACTGCAATGGCCTGCTTGGCAAGCGCAGCCTGCCCTGTGTGCTGCAGCGTTGGGAAGCTGCCGGTCCTCTACACCACTGCTGCCTCATGGCCTGCGCATGACGCAGCTTATCATGCGCCCGCTGTCCCATCATGACGCCCGAGTGAGGGCGCGAACTCACAGACGGGGCACGCATGTACATGCAAAAGCGTATGGCAAGTGCTTTGCTGGCGGCCATCAGCCATGGAGCCGCCAGCAGCCTGCAAAGCGGACCGCCAGCCAGCAGCTGCAGTCACTCCCCAGCACTGTGAGTTCACTCACGACCGGCACCGCCACAGCAGTGGGGGGAGAGTGCAGGATGAGTATTCGCAGTGGATAAGAAAGCAGTGCAAAATGCGGGGCAGGGCATCCACCCCAATCAAGGGCGTGACAAGCGGCGGTCCACAAAGCGCACGAGCTGGTTGGGGGCGCTGCCGCCCCTGCTGGGCTGCTCGTACGCCAATCCCGCGGTGCTCATTCAGTGCCGCGGCAACTGGGTGAACCCTCTCAAATCTCGACACAACACTGACCAACACGGTGCAACATCTGGTACTTTCTACAGAGCGCTCTTCATCAGCACAATGGTGCAGCACCCTGGACCAGACACATGCTGGCCCCAGAGACTGCCTCGACTACCCGCCGCCCTCAGAGCAGGCGCCCCACCGGCCAGCGCGCCAGCGTGCTCTCTGATCACGCCAATGGCCCTGGCTCCCCAAGCGCCTCAGCCAGCTGTGTGGCCCCCAGATCCTCCTGCACAAGCTGCCGCTCATTGGAGGGCGCCATCATAGACCGGGGACGCCGCGCCACTCGTCAACCTTGCGGACTCACCCCGCCCACATCGCCAGCTTTGCGCCGCCGCCTGTACGTCTTCTCTGTCCACATTCTTGCCTGCGCCCTCAGCTTCCACATTCGTGCCGTTGCTGCTCATGTTGCAGCCGCAGGCATGGGCCGCCAGCTGCCGCAAAGGCTCGCCTTGCGGAACGTCAGGGGGAGTGCGGCGGCTGTCGCCGCAGGGAGCGCTGATCAGCACGCCAGAACTACCTTACAAAAAACAGCAGTGGTGGTCTGGACAGGGCCAGTGCGGCAGCAGCGGCCGACCAGCCGTGCCTGGCTGCGGCTGTTGGCGCTCTCCCAGAGGTGCGCTGTGCATCTGCCGGGCAGCAGGGACAGCATGGGAAACGCAACATGAACGCCCACATATTACAAGCTGCTGCGGGATCCGAATAGATTTACATGTGCCCGTGGTGGTCAGGTTGCCACCGCAGACAGCCGGGCAACCGAACCCAATAGAGAAGGCCAAGGCTGGGGATGAGTGCAAGCTGTGGGGCAGCGACGGACAGCCTCTGACTACTCTATTGTTATCACTTCGTCACCCGTGTGCTGCTGCTTCTTCCGCCGCTGCTGCTTGGACCCCCCCCGCGCCCGCTGCTGTGGCTGCTGCTGCTGCTGCTGCTGCTGCTGCTGCTGCTGCTGCTGCTGCTGCTGTGAGTGCAGCTCCTCTCTAATCTCGGGGCTCCTCCTCCCCCGGCGCGGCCCCTTTGAACGCTTGCCGCCGGCGCCGGCGCCGCGCCCGCCGCTGTCGCCACCGCCCGCCCGCCCGGGCCGTTTGGGCTGCTGCTGCTGCTGCTGCTGCTGCTTCCTTAGTGCCACCTGCCGGTTGTGCTTGCGGATGAAGTCGTCGGTGGCAAAATCCTCGGACTCGTCGACCGGGGCGTCGCCGTCGCCGCCTGCGGCGCCCCCGTCGGGCGGCCCCAACGCGTCGCACACCGCGTCGTCGCCGCCCAGAGCGCCCTGGGACGCCCCCGCCTCGTCGTCTTCATCTTCCGAGGCGCCGCCGCCCGGCGCGCCTGCCTTTGGCACGTCGTCCCAGCCGCCGAACAGCGAGCCGATGGCGCTGCGCACGCCGGCCACCGTGGCCCCCTGAGACGGCACGTCGTGCCCGACCCACCGCGCCCGCCCGCCGCGCGGCTGGCGGGGCGAGGGCCCGGGGCGCGGCGGCCCCGCCGCGCCGCCGGGGCCTGCGCCCCGGCCACGGCCTCGCTGCGGCGCTCGAACAGGCAGCTGCTCCTGCTCATCCTCCTCCTCCTCTAACTCATCCTCGGCAGCCCCCGCGGCGGCCTCCTGGCGCCCCGTCGCCGGCCGCCGCCGCCCCCGCGCCTCCTCATCGCTGTCC